TTGACACCAATTAAGAAGCTATTTAGGAAGATGTAACGGGAAGACATTTTTAACATCCTGTCGAATGTTTCTGCATAGCACATCGATCCCCTAAAATACTTTGCTATATCGGCATGTGATGAATCAGAGTATGATATTGTAGGTAACATGGGAAATACATGGACTTGTGATGAATCAATTCATAGGGTGATGTCTGTGTCCTTGAGGAAGGAGACCATGGGTTGTAAGTTCTAGTGGGGGTACCTTTGGCAAAGGGAGTTCCTGAGTTTCTGAGCGTTATGCTACCTTTAACCCAAGGATGCAATTTACGATTTCTTTTTACTTAAATATTTCCAGAAGACGTTTGGCAGTAATCGCAGGGTAGTATTCATGTAATACTGATGACTTAGAGAGTTATTTTTTTAATTGTTCCTGTAAGTTATGACATTGCTCACTTGATGCAGAAGTTCAAATTGTCAGTTAGGAAAACAGGTATACCACAAATTTTACGAACTGTAATGATGGTAGTTTTTGGCAAGAAACTGTTTCATGTCAACCTGAAAATAAACAGACAACAATAAAAAATATTCCAATCCACAGGGAGTCTGACCTCTGTCCCTCTCTCTTCTTATAAGTACAAGTCTGTGCCACATCCAGAATATTCTTCAGGCTCCAGGGCATAAAATGCTTATAAACTGTGTAAGCTAATGGCTCTCGCCTCAGGCAGGGCTGAGGTATCTGGGGAATGCAGAGTTGTGTTCACGAAGAAGACGGTATTATTGTATCTTCTCCTGTGCCTGGTGACAGCTCCCCAGGGTGAGTGTCTCAGGTGTCAGACACGGATCTACAGGGTGAGTGCAGATACACGTGACTGACAGGGACTGATTCCCCATATACTCACATGTCCTGGAGCAGCTGCAGGAGTCAACCCTGGATCTCAGGAGCCTGCACTGGCCCTCTGCCTCACCTGCACTGTTTCTGGTCACTCCTTCACAACCAGTCCTTTCTACTGGACCTGGATCAGCCAGCTCTCAGGAAGGGGCTGCAATGGATAAAATGCATTGCCAGTGGTGGTGAGAATCCATTTGTCTAGTGGAAAATGTCAGCCTCTCTATTTTATAAGGCAGAATACTGTTGTATTGTGTACACATACCACATTGTCTTTATCCATTTGTCCATTGACAGACACCTGGTTTCCATATCTTGGCTGATGTGAATACTGCTGCAATAAGCACAGGAGTGCAGATATGTTCACAAGGTGGAAATTTCATCCACTTTGGGTATATTTCCATAAGCCGGATAGCTGGTCATATGGTATTTCTGCTTTAATTCGTTTGGGAGCCTCCATACAGCTTTGCATAATGGTGGGAATATGGAATGCCATAGCCATTATGGAGAAACATTTTTGTTTTGAGGTATAATCCAAAAACAAATAATATTTTTTCGTGGTTCTTCATATGAGGCTCTAAATCTGATGTAAGTCCGGAGATGTTTCCCACCTTGGGAAAGGATGAGTTTGCTCCTAATTACCTTTGAGGCAGAAGATTGGCAGAATATGAGATGGAGGCTGTTGGCAGGATTCAGGATGATTCAGTAATAAATAGTATTGACAGAGAAAGATAATAGAAATGGGGAGAAAGAGAGACAGAGAATATGAATCGCATAAGAAGAAAATCCACTGAATATCAGTGTTGAGTTTTCAGTCACAGACACCTCAGCATGAGCGAGGAACCACGAAATCAATTGAGGATTTGAGAACACGTTCAGTCCAAAAATCAGCGCATTCTTAGAGACACCCATTGCCCCATCACACGGGTGAGAAATGTTTGAAACCAGTGACGTGTCAGTGATAGTGTAAGTGTAAGTGATGAAGTTATGTCACCAGGAACTTTCATTAATAAGACAAGGACGGCCGGGCGTGGTGGCTCAGGCCTGTAATCCCAGCACTTCGGGAGGCTTAGGCACGTGGATCGTCTGAGGTCAGGAGTTTGGGACCAGCCTGGCCAACATGGTGAAACTCCATCTCTACTAAAAACCAAAAATTGGGCCAGGCGCGGTGGCTCAAGCCTGTAATCCCAGCACTTTGGGGGGCCGAGGCGGGTGGTTCACGGGGTCAGGAGATCGAGACCATCCCAGCTAACACGGTGAAGCCCCGTCTCTACTAAAAAATACCAAAAAAAAATACAAAAAATTAGCTGGACATGGTGGCGGGTGCCTGTAGTCCCAGCTACTCGGGAGGCTGAGGCAGGAGAATGGCAGGAACTGGGAGGCAGAGCTTGCAGTGAGCTGAGGTCGCGCCACTGCACTCCAGCCTGGGTGACAGAGCAAGACTCCATCTCAAAAATGAAATAAAATAAAATAAAATAAAATAAAATAAGACAAGGACTTCTATAGATCACTCATGCACAAATATACAAAATGTGTTTTTGCATTTGTGCATGTCTAGAGAAAAATAATGTGTTCAGAAAACTTCCTCAGGTTACAGAGATCTGTTTAAGTTGGAGATATCATAGGAGTGTGTCTTTAAGTGAATACTTGTCTATTAATTAAATAGGTCAAAATTCCCTCTGTTGTAGTAGGCTTCCAATTATGTAAATTTGCTGATTGCTTCTTGTGTTGTGAAACATAAACCCAAGCATTGACTTACTGGAATTTTACTGCTGTCATCAAAAGACCTGATCTCTGAAAAATATGCAGAGAAATTTCTCCAGATAGACCATCCAGGGGAAAGACATATCTAGAACCTTATCTATGTGGGGTAAGGTAGTCCATCTCCATTACAGACCCCACCCAGCAGTCTTACTTTATCATGAAAGTGGATAAATTTAGCTAACAGGCAAATAATTCTATTATGTTGTATCCAGAAAAGGGAAGGCATCGGTTTCGTTTCTGGAGACTCTGTGCATAGGCCACAGTCCAGAGAAAAAAGGATGACTGAATTATTAAGATTCAATTATAAGAAAATATAATACCTCCTGGATGCACACTTTGTTTTCTCACCAGTTTAGTTAATCTGGGTTAAAGTGTGACAATGTGCAGACTCTGTCGGAGGAATAGAACATACGGAAACTGGCAGACAATGGCAGAGAATAAGACAAGGACAGTGGGGAAATCTTAAGCCTCTGACAAACGGTTTTTGAAAATAAGGTCCTGAAAAATCCACTGATGTCAGATTCTTTTATCATGGGGCATTTGCAGGGTTCTTAGCTGAGAAAAAAAATGCATGCATTTCCCAAGTCTCCACTTACATTCTCTTTGCCTTATATCTCTAGGAGGAAAAAAAAGCCATAAACCTAGGCCTAGTGTCTGTGTAGGAAGCACTTTTTATAGGCCAGAAACTAGTAAGAAATGAAAATATGTGTTATTGGAATAGTACATACAGAATTGGCTTTATTCTGAAAGTATCTGCACCTGCAGGTATTCTCAGATGCAACATTTAACTGTAAGAGTCCAAGGAAGAAACAAGGTACTCCCCAAATCCTACAAGTTTTTTGTATTCATTGCGTATCCACTGATTCAGGAAATGTGAAGCTTCAGAGAAGGGGCTCCCTTCTGTGTCATAGAATGTTTGCTTTGGGTCTCCCTGTAGAGTTCAGTAGGTTTAGTAAGGCTAATCAGTTGTTTAAAGACATGGTGTCAGCAGCATATGGTGCCACTGAAGGAGCATTCTAAACCAGGACACAGCCACTTCATGCTGGGCTAGAGATTGTGGGGTAAAATATCTGTGAGCCACCACAGCAACCCCATTGCAAGGCAAGGGCTTGGCTGGAGTGAGCACTCAGTAGCTGCCAAGCACAGATTCCAGTCCCAGAGTAGGTGCACAGGAGGTTGGAGAGGAAGTTTCCTCTCAGGGCCTGGGTCTTCCTTTGTCAGGAAAAAAAAAAATCTAAAATAACTGTTTGACAACTCGCTGATGTGCCTTTAAGCATCCTAGCACATCCAAACCATTCATGTAACTTAAGGCAATGATAATTATTTTTAAAGTGGATTTCTAGAACTATAATATCTTAATGGTGAGAATATGAAGGATGGACATGTTCTACTAATTCAATGGGTACAGACTAGTTGAACAAACTATATTCCTATGCATAAGAAATTCAGATTTCAGTGTTAAGAAATGTTGCCTACATTGTGTGAGTGACAGGGCAGTGGTGAATCTGAGAGTGTAGCAGGTTCCCAGACATAGTGAGTCAGAAATCAGTATGTAAAGATGAGGATCTATGGATATGAACTGGAAGTGTGAAAATACTTCAGGAAATTCTAATAAGTGGAGTTCAAAATTAACACAAAATTATCCATAACACAAATTCCTTGACAAGTATTTTGGGAGTGGAGAGTTCTTAAAGAACTCTAAACTCCTGTTACATCTTCTGATTCCCATTGTTCCTGAGATGAGAAAATCAGCTCTAATTATTCATCACAAGACAAATCTGTAAAACATGAGTGTTTCTGTTGAAGATCCTGGGAGATCAGACACCAGGCGGGTGCTGCAGACACTGTCTCAGAAGCACACGGCAGATCTCAGAAGTCCCTGATGAACAGTCATGTGGGACAACAGCTGTCGCTTTCTCAGAATCAACAGTGAGCTGTGCTGGTACCTGATGGGTCCAGGAAAAGACCAAGGCACCTTCTCAGTGTCATGGAGAATGATGGTCCCAAAAATGATCCAGGTGGTCTCTATGCTAATCAAATGCAGGTTCACAGTGAGGAGTCTGTTCTATCTGGGCTTATTCTTCAGTGAAAGGACCTCTGCCCACAAATGTTTCTAAATGGAGCAGGGTGTGCATTTCCTCCAGCAGGATTAGGGCGTGGACCATCAGCATCTCAGTCTTGTATGGCTGATGTGTCATTTATCTTCCCTTTCTTATCATGAATCAGGCTTTGAGCTATGAAATGCTCTGTCTTATGAATATGCAAATATGCTGATATCCACTGAGGTAAATATGTTCTGTGCCCTGAGAGCATCATCCAACAACTACATCCCTCCTCAAGAGAAGCCCCTGAGAGCACAGCTTCTCACCATGGACTGGACCTGGAGGATCCTCCTCTTGGTGGCAGCAGCCACAGGTAAGGGGCTCCCACATCCCAGTAATGAGAAGGGGACTGAGTCCAGTCAAGGGGGCTTTCCTCCACTCCCGTGTCCTCCCCACAGGTGCCCACTCCCACGTCCAGCTGGTGCAGTCTGGGGCTGAGGTGAAGCAGCCTGGGTCCTCAATGAAGGTCTCCTGCAAGGCTTCTGGATACACCTTTACTAGCTCTGTTATGCAGTGGGTGCGACAGGCCCCTGGACAAGGCCTTCAGTGGATAGGACGGATCTGCCCTTACAATGGTAACACGAAGTATGCACAGAACTTCCAGGGCAGAGTCACCATGACCACGGACACGTCCACGAGCACAGCCTGCATAGAGCTGGGCAGCCTGAGATCTCAGGACACAGTCGTGTATTACTGTGCGAAAGACACACAGTGTGACAACCCACATCCTGAGAGTGTCAGAAACCCCAGGAAGGAGACAGCTGTGGTGGCATGGAGGAGATGACAAAGATTATTACATTGAAGACTTTCTTAGAAAATGACATTAAGTCATTAAATAAAATAATATTTATTTTTTAAATTAACAATATTAATGTATATTTGAGAAATTTTAGTTATTTGACAGATTTTTCATAACATGTATTCTGTAAGCAAATTTCAGGGATTGTAGAATGAATCAGATTAACAAATCTCATACAGAACTTCCTCTGAATCAATCTTTGTAAACACGAATTTCTGAATCAACGTTGTAAGTATTTTGGAACACAAACACAAATTCACATTAAAACTCTACTTTTATCTCTATTTAAAAAATACCAAAACATCTAATTTTGTGCATGTAACATTTTGAATTCCCACCATCAATGCATGATATTTCTTGTTTTTCCACATTCATATTACCATTTATCATCATGAGAATTGCGAGTTTTAGCCATGCTAATAGGTGAGTAATGGATCTAATTTTTATTTAAATGCATGTGTCCCTAAAAAAAAATTCATATTTAATCTTTTAATGTACTTTTTGTATAATTTTTGGTGAGATGCCGCTCCTGACTTGGTTCATTTTTAACTGCATTTTTTTCTTTTGATTCGTTGTAGGTTTACTTGCATATTGATTATAAAAATCATCTAACAAATTAAAACAGGCTTCATGACAGGAATTGGTGTGAGTGGCAACAGTGAGTGACCAAGTGGGAATTCTCAGGGTTACCCTCCATGAGTACAAATAAATTAACATTCCCAAGCAACACTCTTTCAAGTGCAGTCTACTTTACAATGACCAACCTGAAAGCCAAGGACAAGGCTTTGTACTACTGTGAGGGACACAGGAGAGGGAACATCTGTGTGAGCCCAGACACAAATTAAAAGAATTGATTTAACAAATATGTGACTTGGAAATATTTTCTCCCAGTTTGTGGTTGCCTTTTTCTCCCTTATCAGTGGGTATTGCAGAAAAGTGTGTGTGTGAGTGTGTGCGCACAAATTTAGACAAAAACATAAAAAATTATTCATTCATAGATCATGTCTTTGGCATTATATCTGAAGTCTCATTATGAAATACACTAATAGTGATTTTTTTTCCCCATGTTTCTAATCTCAGGCCACAATCAACCCATGAGTGTTAAACCTTCACCTACTTGATTGGAGGACTATCCTGAGATATTTGGAATACTTCTGTAAGGAGATTTGTTCTTCTTCAAATTATCTGTTTATTTAGTCATCTGTTAATATTCATTTTGATTTATGGATGTTTATTTCACACACTGAAGAAGATCCATGCTACAGTATGCATTTTATTGTACAAATCACCACAGCTTTATTAGGTGCTGGGAGCTGATTTAGTTCGCATCTTGCATCCTTACAGCACACTTCATCCTTTTGTTTTTGAACACTTCCCTGCTTCCTGGTATTACAATAGATTCTAAGCTTGTTTTCTATATTACCTTTTTCATACATAAAATTAACCATTTTTATAAAGAGTGCTTGTTTCTGATTTTAAAGAATAACATTACAATAAAATATTGTGATACTGGGTATGTGTGTTGTTAGTGTGGTATAAGTACTTTTAGGACATCTCAACCAATTGGCCTAGTAAATGTGCCTGCTTATATGAACCATGTTTATGGACGCATTGAAACTATTTATGTATCTAATCTTCTGTAACTTGATTACATTAAACATGAGAACACACTGGTGCCTCCACCCGACTATGCTACCGCAGGGACCTTTCCAGCCTTCCTTCATTGACTGTCCATAACCACCCACTGCAAAGTGAGGAACTCCATCCCACCATATGCCATTTGATTACTTAGCTGCACTGTTTCAGGACACATGCATAGCAGTATCAGAAATGTAAAGCTGTACTCTTATAGGAAACATGTTTATGTACTACATAGAGTGCTTATATGTGATTTCTTTATAATGTAAACTTATAGAACCTCCTCATTTTCAAAGTTACTTAGGTCAGCAACTTCATTTTCTGCTTTCTTCAGTGAAAGCATTGCAGTTACACGGTATAGTTTCATTTGTTTGAAATTCTGTAAAAGCCAAAACTAGAGTCAAGTAAACAGACAGGATATTCCAAGAATTTAGACAGTGGGTATAAAATAACTAAACAGGTCCTGTTTAAGAAGAGTAAGAATATTTTAGTCATATGCAATGCTTGAGACATGACACATTTAATTTGTCTAAGCTCTTAATTTTGTGATGGAAAATATAAACTTAAATACATACAATTGAAATATAGTTAGCAGTTCATTAACCCCTGGATTAAATGCATACTGTATAAAATTATCTAATAACGTATTTGGGAGTGTGGGGATATTATGAGACGCATGCAACAAAGAATGAAGTAATTTTCCTCACTTGCATGTGCGATGTTTCCATTCAACGAAGACCTTTAATTAAAAAAAAAAAAATTGTCCATGTGACCCAGGTTTTCTCTTCCTGACAAGCAAACAACCCAGATCATTCTTTTGTTTCCTTGGTTGGGAAAGGTTTTCCCCAAACTTCAGCTCAGTTCAGGCATACACTGTCCCTGAATGGGCATGTACCCTCAGATGGGTACACACACCTGTCAGCATGTGGACTCTTCTGTCAGACAAACACACCTTTCCTCATGTGGATTCTCCCCTCAGACAAACACACATGTCCCCACATGGACTCTTTCCTCAGACCACCACATATGTCCTTACAATTACTTTTTCCTCAGAAAACAGACATTTCCTCATGTGAACTCTTGTCTCTGACAAGCAAACATGTCTCCATGTGAACTCTTCACTCAGATAAGTACACACATTTCCACATTGACTGTTTCCTGACACAAGCACATATATCCAATATCGAACTGTTTTGTGAGAAAGGTATCCCTTTTCTCTGGAAATGTATTTTTATGTTCTTACTAGACATATTTTTTGATTACGTTTGCCACTATGAAGCTACCTGAACACTGTCTATACTAGAGAATAAAAAAGCACAATTGGCAGATTAACCCTGTGCATCCAGATACAGGAATCTTTGACCCTGCCCTCCCTGAAATGGAGACACAGAGGATGGATGAGCAATGCTGAGCGGTGCACCCATGATCACAAAAAGAAATACATTGAAATGTGCCCCCTCCCCTCCTCATGAAAGGCAGCTCATCCCCTGTTTCTTCAGGCCCTGGTAAGGAGCCACCACATATCTGTGCCCTTTCGCAGTGTCCACACCATGGGATCTGCACTGATCTGAGCTTTCCTTCTCATCACCCAAGATATTAGTGTCCCTTGTGAATCAGGTCCAGCTGTGGCTGCTCCACATGGGCCTGTTCTTCCATTTCCTGTTTGCAGAAGTCCTGTGTGAACTTTATTGATGGAGTCAGAGAGGGGAAATTGTACAGCCCAACGGTTCACTGAGAATCTCCTACAAAGCCTCTGACATCACCTTTATTGGCTACAGCATGAACTTGGTCCAGCAGGCTTCATGACAGGAATTGGTGTGAGTGGCAACAGTGAGTGACCAAGTGGGAGTTCTCAGGGTTACCCTCCATGAGTACAAATAAACTAACATTCCCAAGCGACACTCTTTCAAGTGCAGTCTACTTTACAATGACCAACGTGAAAGCCAAGGACGAGGCTTTGTACTACTGTGAGAGACACAGGAGAGGGAATATCTGTGTGAGCTCAGACACAAAAATCTGTGCAGGAAGACAGGAGGGAACTGCATTGTAGATGCTCCTCATAACCACAAAGAGGCAGTCAGGACCACCAGGAGGCTCTCAGGACACCTGGGGATGCTCAGCACCACCACAGGTGCTCAGGACATCAGTGGGCGCTCAGGACCACGAGGGGGTGCTCAGGACACCAGGGGGCGCTCAGGACCAAGAAGGGGTGCTCAGGACACCAGGGGGCGCTCAGAACCACCACACGTGCTCAGGACACCAGGGGGCGCTCAGGACCACGAGGGGGCGCTCAGGACACCAGGGGGCGCTCAGGACCACGAGGGGGCGCTCAGGACACCAGGGGGCGCTCAGGGCCACGAGGGGGCGCTCAGGACACCAGGGGGCGCTCAGGACCACGAGGGGGCGCTCAGGACACCAGGAGGCGCTCAGGGCCACGAGGGGGCGCTCAGGACACCAGGGGGCGCTCAGGACCACGAGGGGTTGCTCAGTACATGAGGGTTCTCTTAGGCGGCAGCTCCACATCAGGAGCCTGAGAGGCTGTGGTTTCCTTTTAAAGTTTGGTGATTCCTGACCTGGTCAAGCAAAAGTCTTTTCCAGGATCTCTCACCATTTCTTCTTTGTAAATCCATGATTTCTTTTACCTACAAAACATTACCTTAGAGCAGGGATTTAATTCAACTTTGAATGCTGCAGATTTTCCAAGTAATACTAACAATGATCCCTCAGGACAATTTTTAAAATAGTTTATTTACATTTTTTTTTATTTAAAATGATACTATCTTTAAAATAGAAAAATTTTTATAATCACACCTGTAATCTGAGCACTTTACGAGGCTGGGACAGGCAGATCACTTGCGCTTAGGAGTTTTAGAACAGCCTGGCAACATAGCTAGATCTTTTCTATACACACAAACACAAACAAAAATAGCTAGGTGTGGTGCTACCTCTGGTACCAGCTACTTGAAAGGCTGAGGTAGGAGTATCCCTTAAGCCTGGGAGGTTGATGCTGCAATGAGCTGTGATTGTGCCACTACGCTACAGCCTGGTTGACAGAGAGGGACCCTTTCTTTAAAAAAATGCATATCCTCAGTACAAAATGTTTCAATAAATAGAGCTTTGTGTTTTTGTGCTGTAATAATCAATTGTATGTATTTTCTAATTTTAACTCAGCATATACATGGTATTATGTTTCTTTTTCTTTCATCTTTTTTTTTTTTTTTTTTTTTTTTAATTAAACACCACTTTAAACGCTCTTGTTCTCCCCTTTGGTTCACTTCGGGTATACTGTTTGTCAGACTATTTCTCTATCTTCCCTTTTTCTTTGAAAGTCTTTTTTCTTCCTCAGT